CATAAGGCTAAAAAAAGTATAAACCCTCAAACAAACCATATGTATGAAAGAAAATAGCTTTAACAGATGTCTCATTTCTAGAATTTAACACCATATTTTGATAATTGATGATTTGAATCATTCTTCTAGGCCAACACCTAGGCCTCAGCTGAACAATAGAATTTCGAAAGGAACGTTTATGGGCAGCATGACGTTTCCCACTTTGGAAGAGATGATTTTATATGTGATCAGGGTAGACTATCCAAAAGAAGTTATTTGATATATTGGTCATGAGAAACAATGCCTGCTAATTGCTGTGTATTAGAAAAATGAAGTCCTAAATAAGAAGACTCCTTATCTCACTCAATAATACTGCTATTCCTTCATCATCATGATCAGAATCCACAATGACATTCTGTATTAGACAAGGAGACAGGCACAAACCCAGTACAGTGAGACCTGGATGGTTTGGCTAACTCTGCAAGCAGACTGCAAGGTTTTGAACGAATATCTGGGGTTACAAATCACCTCTGCAAGGGAAAACCAATGCCAACTTAGACCATGCCTTTATTTAATGAGCCCTTATTTAATGGCATTACTGTTGTAAAGGACAGTAATTATATAGATCAAGGCAACCAATTCAAAAACAATTAAACACACGAATTTCCTAACTTGAGTCTTTCACCAAAGAAACTTGGTCACTAATATAGGAAGATTCCATCTCTTTCGGAAGCATTTAAAACCAGACTGGATTTTCTTTGGTTGTGGATAAGAAGATAGTAGGTGGTAAGGGAAATAGTAGATGAAGAGAAAAATCAATGAATATTCTAGATTTATTATAGTTCTGGGAAAATCTGACTCCCCATTTCTTCCCAAATATTAATAAATATTAAAAGTCATCAGTGGTATCTATATTAGTTTAATTACTAATTTGTATTTACTCCTTATTCTCACTATTCCACATCTTTACTTATTCTGAAAATTTGAAGAGAAATTCCACAATTAATGTTCACACATAAATATTTTTGTATTTTGTGATATTTTAAGTAATGAAAGAATAATTTTATTTGGCTTCTAGAAAAATATTAAAATACATTTCTTTGAACTTTCAGTAGGCTCAGACTTTCAAAGGTTACTCATGAATCCAATCATTCTAGACTATTTTATAAGAGAGTATAAGATATAATCAAGTAAAACAACTATCATAGTTTAAGCTTTGATATAAAGACCTACTGCCCTAGTGATTTTATAATATCCATTTGTATAAGTATTTTAACAGTGAAATTAAAAATGCCACCTTGTGATAACTTTCTTTTAAAATTAATATCCTCACAGAGTGAGCATGGAATTTATGCTTCTTTAATAAAAAGAAGTTGATACTTTAGACATAAAGAAAAAATTCCTGATCTCTTATATATTAGAGCACTACTTCCTAATTTAAGGTACTTCAGTCACAAAAGGACCCTGGCCAACTAGTAGATACTTCTTTAGTAAATGACATTGATAAAAGGAAAATAGTTATATTGACCACAGGCTTTTATTTTTCTTTGCCTTCTTAACCTTTTACAATTTAGCGAGATAATAGAAAAACAACCTAGATTTTGAAAACCATATGTTCCATGAATTGCATGTTAAAGAATACAATCCTAACTGTAGACATGTCACTGTCTGTTCGTGTATAATGTGTATGTGGCAGTAGTTAGCTGACTCTGCATTTTATGTCACTGATGTGGCATGGTATCTTTTCACAATGTGTCCCAGATGTCATGTAAAGTTCTGAGCATATTTAAAAAGGCATGTACTCATGCATGAGACGTGTGTGTTGGTGGTGGGGGAACTGAACAATAGCCTTCGTAACGCCAATAAAAGCTACTATTTAGACCATATGAAAGTTTACTATATTTATAAAAACGTAAGCAGTTTCAGGGAGCATTTATAAAATGGGTACTACTTTATGGCCTTGGCTTTAGCAGCTAACAACATAAATTTTTTGGAAGATTATCAATGCACATTGAAGCAGCTGTTGCCGTGCTGGACACGCTGAGGCAGCTCCTGTCCTTCCCACTAGTTAACTACTTGTCCTTAAGTCAGTATCAGTACAGCTTATAATAGTGAATGCCTAAAATCTAGACTGGCAGTAAAAATAAAATTTTATTCAAACCTCGTAAAAATTGGGGGGGAGGAAGAAGATAATTTCAAACACATGAATAACTGGTGATCTCACCTAATTTTGACTGTACACATAACAAGTGAACTTACAGAAAAAAAAAGGCGTATGTCTAAAAAGGGATAGCATTTCAGAAAATTCAGGAGTTGTACTGTAAAGGAACAAAATCCACGGTGGAAAATGCACATTTGTGTGCAGCAGAATTCTACAATAAAGTCTCCACCGTAGTCTGATTTGGTTTTACTGTGGACCACTTCTTATTCATCTTGTGGTCTTAACCTTTCATCAAAGCCTGGACACTATGCCCCATGATTGTATTAATGTACACAGCTACCATTTAATTAAAAAAAAATGAAAGGAAAAAAAAAGCCTGGAGAACTTCTTAAGTCATCGCATGCTTAGAAGTTGTTTTTGTTTTTGTTTTCTGATGAGGTAATACTGTCAAACAAGTGAGTGTGAAGGAAGATGTAGGATTTCTTGATTGCTATTTTATAAAAGAAAGCTGAGATGATAAATGTTGACTATTTACAACTTATATTTACATCCATCTTTCAACTTTAAAAATCCTTCCTATTTGGAGAACAAGCTTCACAAGCACTTTTTTTCTTACTTTTAATGTGCTCCTAAAATTTTCCAATGAGAATTACTTTAATCGAAAGCTCAACACTCCACATTTTAAACACGTACTGAAATATAACCGGGTTTTCATTTTTTTCTCTCATTTTGTCTGTCTTAAAGGAAAGAGAAACAACATATTTGTGTTTGAATTTAGAAACTTGTGTTTTTCCTTTTTGATTGTGGTTAAGCAAAAAATAGACATCCCTTATTTTATGTTTATAGAAATATAATTTGTGCTTCAAAATTTTTCTTGTTCGCCTATACATCAGTAGTCCCCAATCTCTTTGGCACCAGGGACTAGTTTCACGGAGGACAATTTTTCCACAGACTGGGAGGGAGGGTGGGGAGGAGGTGAAGTTCAGGCTGTCATTCTCGCCATGGGAAGGGCTGCAGATACAGATGAAGCCACCCTCTTGCTCACCCTCCAATCACCTGCTGTGAAGCCTGGTTCCTAACAGGCCGCTGACCACAACCTTTTTGGCACCAGGAACCAGTTTCATGGTAGACAATTTTTTCATGCTGGAGGGTGGGAATGGCCTGGAGATGGAGCTCAGGTGGCCATGCTGTGCACACCAGCTCCTAGGAGGCCACAGACTCGCACTGACTGGGCTTGGGAACTTCAGCTTTATCAGATATGTATCTATTTTAATGACAAAAAATGATTCCATATCACTAAAAACTTACGTTGAAGACTTACTGTGGATGGTGGAAAACTAAATGAAAAATGGGAAAAACAAAAACCCAACTAACTAAATAGTTCACTACGGTATAGTCAAACTGCCAGTTCTCCATACGACCTTGATTGAATTCCATCTCTTTCTAACACCTTCACTTAAAATTGACTCACATGTCTTTTTCACTAACGATGAAATCTTGCCCACCATGGTGAATTTTGCTCAACTAAAGGGAACACCTGAACCTAAACGCATCTCCAACGCTCAGGCTTCTCTTAGAGTTCACGGCACACTTTGATTTGTTAGGATGATATGGTATGTTCATCACATCTCCATATTGATCAATCAATAGAAAATTAGCTAATGTCTTAGAAGCAAATTCCTCCTTACATGACAAGAATTGATTATATGTTTTACAGAACAGAGGCTGGATTGTAAAACATGCCGCATCTTTTGGTCCTGGAAGCTGTTAAGAACCAAGGCCAACTCCCTCTCTCTCCTTCCCCACACATCTCTCATCACTACGAAGAGCCTCCTACTTTTCCCATTTCTGCTTTCTACTACTTTTTTCTTGTCATGAATTTGCATTTGGCGCCATCCTAGAAATTCCAAATTAGGGAAGTCAGAGGCAAAAATCACATAATCTTTCAACTTAGGTAACTATGTTTGGTATTCTATTTCTAAATTATTTAGAGAGAAAATGTGGATCTTGGGTCCATTTTTCTTCCTCAGAAGCCTAGAATCAGGATCAAAAACTGGAATAAAAAACTGATAGTTCAGACCAGGAGCAATGCAGTTTCTATAAGGAAAGGGCAAGGCCAGGAGAAACAGATGAATCTCCAATACACCTGATACAACTGAGTTTACACAAATATATGATGTATAAATAATGTAATGTATAATAGAAAATAGAGGAGAACTGAAAACCTATTCATATTTGCCTTTCACATTTGGGTTTTTTAAGTATTTTTAAACAATGTTGTGTACGGTACCAGTGAGCTTTGTGCCTGCACAGAGAAAGTGAGAATATCAGCTCTTTAGGGAGGCATCGGATAGCTAAAATGAGGGCTCAACATATCAGAGCAGCTCAAAGGTTTGATTTTATGTTTGATGCACTCTGTTGAAGTTATACATAAAATGATCTTGCAAAAAAAAAAAAAAACCAAAAAAGGCGTGCTTTTAAAAAACAAGATTTGAAAACCACAGGAGATAATTCTTTTCCAAAAGCTGTCAGGAGTTTATGATGATATTTCAATGCACACTAAGCTGAGATCAAAAAAGGGGTGTATGTGAGTGACTCCATATAAATGAGTTAATAATGCCAGCTTTGCTATCTAGTCCCTCTGATTTCCACGGCATTCCACATTCCACAAGTAGTCACACACCAGCAATCACTGATGACATTAACTCGATGTGATTACATTATGATTTTCATGATTAATAAAAGACAAATAAATACTCTATGTATATTTTTATAAATGGAGAAAGAACATGCAGATATGTCCTACGTAAGATTTAACAACAGAAATTAACAAACAGAATTGATGGGGTTTCAGAAGTACCCTCGTGCTGGAATATTCATGTGCCTTGCAGACTTAACCACCTCCTCAAACTTCCCCATGCTCTCTTCAATGGAACAGTTAATATTCTTCTTGCTAAAGGACTCAGATGCAGCACCAAAAACTGATATCTCAGTGGCTCCAGCAGCAACCTGAAAAATATAATTTAAAGCCCAAAGCTAATACATTTTAAAATATAAATGATAGCAATAGAAGAAAGATGAGCTACTCTAAAGGCGTACTGGGATTCTTTAATATTCGCTTCATAATTTAAAATTGGATTCTTCTCATCTTGCCACATATACACTTTTGAAATGTAAAATTATTTCATCACAGAGTAATTCCACAGACTTTAATACTCAAAGCCTATGGGGCATGGAAAACGCAATGATGATGTTCCAATTAAATTTTGCCTTTCATAAATTACATATTGTCTTCAGACATACTTTAACACTAATTATGGAAAATGCTAGCCCACCGATAAAAGTTTTCTTTCCACTTAAAGGCATAATTTTCAAACCAGTTATTAAAATAACAGTTAGTAAACATTTTCCATTTTTCTTCTCTTCCTAATTCCAACAGAAAACTGTTTTTCCAACTCATCATTTAGATTTTGTCCTGAATTATCCTCCTGCCTCCTAATCCGGCTTTCGTTTCATACCCTGACTGCCAGGACCTTATTCTTATATGCCTAATGTTTTAATCTTCTTGTCAGTCTTTAAATCCAAAACATTAATGACTCTATCAGTTTCCCTTTTGTTGCTGTCCTCAACTTTATTCCTTCTCCCAGGCTTCACCGGTGACTTGTTTTCAAATGTCAAGCCTCCTATTTTTTTTTATTTTTTAGGTGGATTTTTAAGGCCTTCTGTCAATGCACCTGTTAGCACTCTGCCTGGGTTTTCCCTTCTCACTGACCCCCTATTAATATAAGAAAAAAAACCAAAACTATGTTATCATCTTTTCCCAACATGAAAAAAAATGGCTTCTAAAATTTTTAACCTCTAAAATAAAAATCTTATTAGTGAATATCTACTATTTGGCAGTACCGTGTTTAGTATTTTGTATATATATATTTTTGTGATCCACAAACAACTCTGCAAACTAAGCACAATGATGCTTTTTACAGATGAAAAACTTGTGGCATGAAGAAGTTAAATATGTAGCACAGAATCGCACAGTTAGGAAACATTCCTGAACTGTGTTTTGATCAGAGAACTGGCGGACATCCATACGGAGATCTGTTTTACCCCTTGGCCTGCCCCTCTAGGCTAACACGAGACTGTCCTCTCAGTGCCTTCTTCAAGGGGGAGACATTCTCTGTTTTGCTGGGACTGGATGACAGCAACATTTGCAATTTCTTTAAATGCCTCCTTTCTTTACAATGCAATAAAATTTTTACCAAATCAAACAAAAGAAAACACAAATGATCCTCGAGAGATCCCTTCACAGGTGATAATATTAAGTACACCACAACCTTAACACTACTCAACATAGTCTCCAAGTTAGAAACAAATGCTGCCATAACAGCTTAAGCCTAATGCCTTAAGCTGTTACTTAAAACTGAAGTGGTTCTTCTTGTATGTGTAATTCTTAAAGTTTTCATTTAGATCATATACAATCTTCAGTCACACAGCATCGGAAGAAACAAACTAGAAGAAAATAAGGAAAGTCACAGAAGGGAGGTACAATGACGAAGATTAGCTTCACCTTGAAGGAGAAAATAGCAGCAACAAAAAGCAGACCAAAAAACATGACAAAAATAATTGTGAATTTAGTAATCATTATAATTATATGTTATAATCTTACACGAGAAATGTTACATTTTGCTCTAAATTAGTTAAGATGGAAGCACAAATACACTTTAAAAAAAATTTCACCAAAATGGAGGATTGTATTTCATGCTTTGATTCTTGAATCATTAAACTGAAAGAGCCATTTATGTGGGGCACTTTGGTCCCTAACCAAGTCATGAGGATGCCAAGCTCTGTGCATCCATGGTAATACATAAGCACATAGCAATATTTATCCAAGGTTGTAAGTGACTTGAGTATGACAACGTTTTAACTTTACAAAGATCTTTAAAACAATAAGAGGCATTTTAGAAAAATTAGTAGCACACTTACAGCACGATGAAACCCCTGAAGGTTAGGAGTAAGGACAGGATATCGAACTCCCGGATACTGACGAATGCCTTTCATCACTTCAGTGTGATCAGCCATCTTAAACACACAATTGGCAAATAGAAGTATGTAACCTCGAATATTCTATCAAGCCTGGTTTTAGTTTTTCAGATAAATTGTGGTTACATATACAGTTATAGTCTATAAATTAATGTTGGAAATAACAAAACAATACCAGTGTAGCTAAAGAAAAATAGTTCTCTGTGTCATTGATATATAATAACTAGGTACAAGTTTAACTAAGTCACATAACAGGATTTGGTTAAATGAGCAACTACGGAGAGTCAGGAACTCTGAACTCTACTATTTTCATTGGACCAATCCTTATTCTCTTTCATTCAATTCTTTTCCTAAGGTTCAAATATCCCTGAGGTTAGGGAGAATTTGAACAGCAAATTTACCTTGCACATAAAAATTTTATGTCTAAATAATTTTCAGTGTATGAAACTTTACAACGTGCAGTAAAGTATAAGTTATATATATTCTTCAGAACAATTTAACAAGGCTGAGGTCTTAGAATGTTATTTGGTTAGCATAGGTGTTTGAGTTAGTAATAGTTGTAATGCTCTGTGTAGTTCTATCATATTATTACCATATGTTTTCACAATGTGAACAAATGAGCAAAGCAGTAAGCCCAGCAGAAAAGTGTAACACACCCTGTCAAGACTTTATTTCCTACATCTATAACAAAATCAACTTTGAATTAAAATATCAAATTCACCAATTTGCCACAAAGTCTATGAATTAGCCTCTTAAAGCAATAACTAACAATCAGATCCCATAACCATCACACAGGGAAATTACCATTGACATAGCCATAAACCTTACAAATTTAAGAATAATAAATTATGGCATGAACAATAAATAAAAGGAATAACATATAAGCAGTGAAAAGTATACAAATTGAGCATGGAGAAAGACGTGAAAACAGACACCAAACCAAAATTGGTGTCCTCACTGTGGGAATGGGAGACAAAAAGTTATTTTTTTTTTCCTCTGTGTATCTTGGCTTATTGCAATAAGCATGAATGTTTTAATTTAAAAAAGAAATAAAAATTAAATTAATCAAAACACAAATGCTTAATATGGCTACACACATTTTAAATATATAAAATATTATAATATTTACTGTTACTGGCCCATTGGTCTTATCGACTCAATTAAATGCCTGCAGAAATAAATTTCATACTTTTGAATTAGTGTAATTTGGATTAATTATGTGATTTTAAAATGCATATTAAATTTAAAATTAAATATCAGAGATTCAAAAAAGTATGCCCCGTTAGTTGCCATGTGCCTTATGAACATTTAAAATTACGTGTTTCATTCAATCCAAATGCATTTATTTATGTTGAACTTGTGATCTTTGCTCATTTATTTCCATAGTACTGCATCCACTTTCCCTCACCCCACCTATTCTCCTCATTTGCAAAGGCTAACATATTCAGTTACAGTGCCTACAGTCCAACTCTCTCATGTCCTTTTAAACCCATCCGACTTTAATCTAGATCAGTGGTTCTCAACCTGTGGGTAAGACCCACAGGAACTGTATTAAAGGGCCACGGCATGAGGAAGGTTGAGAACCACTGCTCTAGATGTGTACTGAGCACCTCCTAAAACCAAAGCCCGGTGCTAGATCCTGTGGGAAACACAAATCCAGATCTGACTCTCGTGTGGGAAAGCGAGGTCCTTGCTTTGAAGTAATCTGCAGTACAGTTGAGGAGAGAACAGATACACTTGGAATGTCAACAATTCAAAAGAATACACTGGTTGTAAATGAGAGTACAGATTATTAAAGGTCCTACTAGGGAAAGGCTGGTAGGGCCTACAACATAGTCTGAGAAAGCTTTAAAGACCGTATGAGATACACACTGTAGTCTCTGACTCCGGCACATTATAATGCCCAGCAATGGCCATGACAGCAGGTATTTTTGTTCTATATGCTCTTTATCAAGAGATCGACTCTGCTTATTTCCCCCTTGAGATTGAATAGGCTGTGACTGTTCCAAACATTAGAGTGTCATGGATATGATACTATATGGCTGCTGACATTATGTTATAAGTAGGGATACAGCTTCTGCATGTTTCCCTTTGAGGGAAAGCCGGTGTGGAGAAAGCACCCAGTGTGCTACGAGAAAGCCCTAACTAGCCCAAGCAGAAATGTCACATGAAGACACCTTCGTGGAGAGCCCCAGTGAAGAGAATCTGAGGCCACCAGCCAGCCTTACTCCCTAAATCTGTAATCGAAGTAGTCTCCATGTGACTTTTGTCTCCAGCTTTGAGACCCCAGACATTGTGGACCAGACACAATCTGTCCACTGTGCCCAGTTCAAATTTCTGACCCACAGAATTGGTGAGCACAGTAAATGATTATTTGCACCTCTAAGTTCTCAGATAATTCTCTGCACAGACATAAAAGCTGAAAAATGAATAGGATTGGAAAAGAAGGAGTGATTACATAAGGGGTAACACTTTATTTGGCTTGAGAACATTATTGATGAGTAATCAGGGATAAGATGACAGATGAAGAGAAGACACCACACTGCGATGGGTCTTTAAGTTCACATTATTCTAGAGTCCCGATTGATTCTGAGGTCAACAGAAAACCATGGAAAGTAGATGTCAAAAGAGCAAAAGAGCAGAATAAATGCAGTATTTTAGAAAGATTGCCAAACACAGTATGCTCAAATAGTTAGTGGAGATATGTACATTACCATGACACCATAATTTAATAAAAAGCAATGTTCTAATCAAGTACCAGATTTGGATAAAGATTGGTAATGCATCATAAAATAGCATAAAAAGAAAATTTGAATCAATGAGAAAGACAGATCGTGTTGGTTTATGTGGGATTATTTTACATATAAACAATGTGTAGACATTAATATTCTGAAGCAAACAGTAATTTCTTTTAATAGATGTTTAATTCAATAGAATAGGAAAATAAACAGACATGACAATAATCAAACCCCCAGTTCATGAAAGCTGAACTTTGATAATTATTAAAGATACTTAATAAAGCTCTGATTAATTTATAAAGTAGAAATCCAAAGCATCAGTATTTTTTGTTCATTTTAAAAACTATTCCCAATTTGAGGGCATTTAGAAAATTATAGAATTCTGTCTTACTTTAGACAATAAGGCAAATAAGTAAAGGGGCTGAGGAAATTCTGATAGGATACAATTTTATTACAATTAATAAAATAGAGCAGGTTTCAATTAAAGGTATAAAATCCTGGCCTTAATTTTTTTTTCCTCTTGGGGAGTTTATATTATACTTCAGTCTCAATGTTATTTTAATGTCTAAAATTTAACTATTATTTAAACAATGAAACTAACCATTTACATTACTGTTTTGACATTTTAACAAAATCTCTCTACATCTGGTTTGATTTAACATATTTTTAAGATTTTGCTGTGACTTTTTTATTTAAGATCATAGAAAATCCTCAGGATCTGGCTAATAACAATTTTTGCCATCATTCTCAGTCTATCTAGCCAACAAAATAGACCTATCCTGGCTAATCATGTAACCATCCACATTTTGGTCAGGATCCGAACAATCACAATATGTGTAAAAGAATTTGCAAGAGTTTTAAATATTTAAAAAGAGACACAAGGATTAGAATGTGAAAAGCTTATAGTTTAGAGATTTTGTTACTTACTCTATCATAGTACAATAAATTTGGATAGTTCGTGTTATGGATATTTAGATATCCTGATAGTTTATGATTATATGAATCTTATAACTCTCCTAAATATTTAGGCTTTCGATATATCCTCCAGACAACGGCAATCACTAAAATGTGACTTAAGCACTGTATCCTTATCTTATCAAAATTCACTGAGATTAATGGAATTTCTAGGTCATGTACACATGTATGCGGTAACGAACAATGAAAAGAGTTTCTCGCAAACTTCAGAAGGGGATAATTTTGGAAGTTTCAACAATTTTTATAAATAGGCTGCAGCATGCCTAGCTTTATTTTGCTTCATTTTATTGCACTTCACAGATATTGCATATTTAACAAATTAATGGTTTGGGGCCAGATGCGGTAGCTCACGCCTATAATCTCGGCACTCTGGGAGGCCGTGGTGGGTGGATTGCTTGAGCTCAGGAGTTCAAGACCAGCCTGAGCAAGAGCAAGACCCTGTCTCTAAAATTACCCAGGCACTGTGGCAGGCACCTGTCGTCCCAGCTATTTGGAAGGCTGAACCAAGAGGATCACTTGAGCTCAAGAGTTTGAGGTGGCTGTGAGCTATGACACCATAGCACTCTACCAAGGGTGACCAAGTGAGACTTTGTCTCAAAAAAAAAAAAAAAGAATGAATGTTTCTGGTGACTCAGAGTGAATTAAATCTGTATGTGCCAGTTTTCTAAGCAGAGGGCTTGCAGTGTGTCCCTGTGTCACACTTTAGTTATTCTCACAGTATTTCAAACTTTTCCAGTTATTATTGCCATCTGTTATGGTGATCTGTGATGGATCAGTGATAATTGATGTTGCTTTTGTAATTGTTTGGGGTCACCACAAACCACACACATATATGATGTTAAGCATTGGACTCCTTCATCAACCAGACCATCCACCATCTCTCTTCCTCTCCATAGCTTCCCTATTCCTGGAGACACAAAAATATGGAATTTAGGCCAATTAATAACCCTATAATGCCTGTAAGTATACGAATGAAAGATTTACACATGTCTCACTTCAAATTAAAAGCTAGAAATTAATTAAGTTCAGGGAGAAAGGTATGCTGAAAAACAAGATAGGACAAAAGCCAGGCTTCGTGTATAAACAGGTAGCTACATTGTGAATACAAAAGAAAAGTTCTTAAAGAAAATTAAAATTGCTATTCCAGTTAACACACAAAGATAAAATTGAAATAAACAGCCTTAATTCTAACAGGGAGAAAGTTTTAGTGGTTTGGATAGATGATCACATAAACCACAACATGCCCTTAAATCAAACCCTAATCCAGAGCAAGGCCCTAACTCTCTTCAATTCTACGAAGGCTCAAAAAGGTACGAAATCTGCAGA